CAGACTTTTCAATTTATGATTAAACTTAACTTAATTAAGTAACACTTGATCCAAATAATTATTGATTAACGCATAATTAAATTAATCTAAATTAATCATAATTAACCACCAATCCCACATAATTTAATTAGTCTAATTAATTTCCATTTGAGCCCAATTAACTATATTTAAATTTATCAACCCGAATTAGATTTTTAGTCAGACTCCCAAAAGGCTTCAAATATTAAATTAAATTTATTATCACTATCAATTTTGATTTCCCAAATCATTTAGGCTTTTAATTTCTGATCAGACTCCAATTTCCATCAATAAATTACATATTCAAATTGAACACATCATAATTAAATTTAATTTATAATAACCACAATTCTCAATCCTCATGACTTAATCAACTCCAATTAGGACCTAATTAATCGAATCTCAATTTTACTAAACTGAATCGAATATTTAATTAAACTCCTAAATGGGTTCGTAATTAAAATTAAATTGATTCAACTTCTCAATTTTACTTCCTTAAGCCATTTGGACCCTTAATTTCTAATTTTGAAATAACTCCTTAATAGAATCATATATGAATCAGATCCCACAATTCTCATAAATCCCAAATTAAATTATAATACTCAGCAATTAAATTCCAAATCTCCTTAACTAATCAAGTACTAATCATTATACGTGATGGGGTCGTTACATGATGCCTTTTGGGCTAACCAATGTGCCAGCTGTGTTTATGGACTTGATGAACTGAATCTTCCGAGAGTTCTTAGACCGTTTTGTAGTCGTCTCTGTGGATGACATTTTGATTTACTCACCCTCTAAGGAGGAGTACGAGGAACACCTGTGAGTGGTGCTTGAGTTGCTTAGAGCCCATAAGTTGTATGCTAAGTTTGGAAAGTGCGAGTTTTGGCTAAGAGAGGTTAAGTTCTTAGGCCATGTAGTATCCGGGGAAGGGGTGACTATAAACTCATCCAAAATTGAGGCAGTGCAAGATTGGACACAGCCTAAGAATGCCTTTGTAGTCGTCTTTCTAGTGGCTCAAGGCAGAATATTCCATGTGATCCTATGAGACACATGTCTTCTCTCTATTTGGCTACTTGGTGTCCTCTTGATACTAAGGAAAAGCCTATAAATAAGACCCATTTCCCAAGGTTCAACAGAAGGAATTTTGGGAAGTTGGGGGAGATGCTGCCCAATTTGGTACTGCCATTCATTTCTTCTTGAGCCACTTGCTTCACCCTCACCTAGCTACACACTCTCCAACTCCCATATAGTTGCTGCTACTCATTCTCCAGCCACTTCCGCCATTATTGGACTATTAATATAGTTTTGCTTCTCTAATCACCTCTCTAACCTTAAACCCCCTTACAAAGTTAAAAAGATTGGGTTGCCAAACGAGATTTAAAAGACAAAATAAATTAAAATAGTTAATAAGATAAAATGTCATATCAAATCTATAATCATTTTACTTTTTTCTCATAAATATTATATCTAACCACAAAAAAAATTAACTCTCTTTTCAAGCATAACTATTTTAGCCTATTAAATAAGTTAAAAATTAAAATAACTTACTAAAGTAGCTAACTTTTCAATCATTTATCTTATTAATTATTTTAATCTATTTTATCTTTTAGTATTTATTTTAGCTCAAAAATCCAAAAACAAACCTCCCAAACACTATTTGGCATCCCTACAAATTATTATTATTATTTTTTTAATAATCTTTTTTAGATCACATAACTTATTTATTTTTTAACATAATTTTTTTGTAAAAAATTAAAAAATATACTTATTTAAATCATTTCAAATACTCATTTAATTTAAGATAAATTACACTAGCACCCCCGATGTTTCTATTTAATACAGGTTTTTTCATCACATTTGGGAAATTACACTTATTCTCTGTCAGATTAACATAACATATTTATCTCTTAACTTTTTTATACATATAAAATAATAAAACAATACAAATATTTTGTTCATGTCATTTTAAATGAAATAACAATCTTCTTTAATTAAATCACATAAAAATTGATTTTTTTTATTTTTACTATTTTTTTTAATATTTTTAATATTTTTTCAGATACATCTAAAAAAAATAAATCATATTTGTGGATGTTTTGTTTTAAAGTAAAAGATTACCATTAAATTATATCATTATATTTGAAAATTCTATATAAATTTTATATTTATATATCATTCTTCAATAAGAATAAGTTTAGGTATAATTTAATGATAGAAAGTTATAGGATGTAGTTATAATGATAAGAAGAAGAAATGATAACAAAAATAATAAGATGGCCATTTAAAAAAATTTAAGACATAATATCAACAATTTAGGAGATAATTTATAATGAGATTACAAACTTTAAAAAAGAGACGTTATTTTTTAAATGTGAAAAAAAATGTATTAAAAAGAAACATTAGAGTGTTAGAGTAATTTACCATTTAATTTATAGCAAATCTTTGGAAAAAAAACTTAATTTATGGGATCCTATTTTTAAAAGTTTTTATTATACTGTACAATGAATGGACTCGATAGGGGGGTCAAATTTGTCATTTTAATGGTGCCTCAGTTAAGGGAAGGTCATTTTCATTCAATCTTATATTTGTAGTTTGAATTTTGCCTATTTTGAGAACATGATTACGAGTCAATTTTTTAATTTGTTTTGAATCATATTATTGTAGACACCCCATTTTTGACCGACCTTAAGACTCAGATGTCACTGATCCTTCATTTTGGGCACTTTGGCCACTGTTTTTGGGCTTAGTGAGGATTGCCTAAACCATGCTTAGGTCCACCCTTTGCTTGCTTGCATGATTGCCTCACATATTTACTTGCATAATTGCACGAATGCATTGCATTGCCATGTCGCATCCTTAGCTCACATGCCTAGGATTGCATTCTATTTGCATGCATGCTTGGCCTCTTGAAATGCTTGTGATAGAGGTTGAGTCCCATTGGTTTGATTGTGTGCATTGCATTTCACTTAACATCAAAATGTGCACACTTGGTCCCTTGGGCCATCACGCATGGAAATGCGCGATTGATGGTCCGAGAACCAAGGAGCATGTCCCCTTGAGTCACTAACATGATAAGGGACATGATTGGTGCGTATATGGCTTGAATTGCACTGCCATGCAAAGTTCTGTCCTCTGCTGCTGTCAAACAGGTTCTGCAGACACTTTCTGCCGATCGACTGCATAGAGTGCCGACTAGCAACCCATTGATGGCCGTTGGATGAATTCTTGGCCGATGATCACCAGACCACTGCCGGCGGCCATTCCACTCAGCCGGTGGTGTCTCCCAATGTCCAGGGAAACAATCCTGAGACTTTGGCAGCCTTCAGAGGAGTATAGCAGAGAAAACAGAGACAGCTTGTGCATGGCAGTGTACTTCCGAGCAGGACCGAGCACGCGCACATCGAACCCTCTTCCCGAGGCCCCTGTTATTGCTTTTCTTATGCTTAGTTAATTTGTCAATTAATTAGGTGATTTGTAATAATTAATTAGCTTATAGGTTAATTATCTGTAATATTTATTTGGTCCCTCTAAGCGAGGGCGAATCTGTAATAAGTGTGGGTGAGTGTGTGCATGTTTCCCAACCCCCACTTCTTTCTCCCTTTTACTTACCTGCTTTGATGGTTAGTAATGGGTCATATTTAAATCAGCATACCTTATGCTATGCATGCGTGCATTCATGCATTTGTCTTGCATGCACCAGGCTCGGTACATCATGCTAACTGCATTTGTACTTCAATTCCAAATTAAATACGTGCATCAATCGATTGCATTTCACATGCCATGTTTAGGTCAGCCGAGCCTACTCTAATTGCATCCTGCATGTGTTGCATTAGTCAATTTGACATAAACTAGGACCACGCATGTTGGCTAACTAGTTTATTGTTTTGGCACGGAGTACGATGTAAGTATTTATGCTTTAGCATACCGCATGCGTGTGAATGCTATTATGACAGCATGCTTACCATGTGGCTAGATGCTTATGTGATAAACTGTTTGAATGCCTGTGGATGAAGGTTGGGTTGCCTGAGTTGGAATAGCTCATTGAAATCCATGTTTTATAGCCTACTTGCGAGTAGCAAATTCCAAAACATTTTTTCAAAACAAACGGATATGCAATGCTTATTCTCAAATTAGGCAATCTAGTCTATACTTGTTTGCTGTGAGCATAACATAGTAATTCTAGGCTAATAACCGGTTTAAGAACACACAACGTTTTCAAAAACGGATATCACGGTTAGTAGAGGTCGATCTTCGGATCGAGCGAGAGGGGGTGCTCATAGCTGACCTTCCCTAATCGTACCCTAGCTCCCGAGCTGAGGCAACTCTGGTGATGACGGACATGTGGCCTTCGGCACCGAGTTAGGGTTTCCTAAATTCCCCCATAAAAAATATTTAGGTGGCGACTCTGTATCTGGCAAAGCAGTCCATGTTTGGCACTTCTTTTCAAAAAATCTGTTTCTCAAAACGATTTGCCGGATTTGGACTCTTTGGTTCAAGATTAAGAACCGTGACACAAATCGAGTCCGAACTGTAGTAGCGAGGGCCCCCCACGCGGGCGCGTCTACACTAGGTGTTACCCATTTTACCTCCCATCAATTCACCAAGACAGACCATACATTCTAGATCAAAGGGCATAATAGCAACACATGATTAGCTGTTTCCACATCTGCCTTACAAAACACACACGGAGAACTAACATTATCATTCAATACTCCAATCCGATGCATAAATTCTGCAGACTTTATCCTCCCTCTCCAAGCTAACCAACTGAAAAATTGAACCTTTAGGGGTGCTGAATTTTTCCACAGAACCTTTGAAATATTAAGCATTGGCCCTTTAGCTGCCTCCATCCTTTGCCATACCGAAGCCACAGAGAGCACTCCTGAACTATTTGCCAGCCATGAACAAGAATCCTCAGTTGTATGATTCAGAATAGGTGCCTCTGATAAGAGTAAAGTAAGTCTTTGAACCTCATCTTCCTCCTAAGCTAACAGTGGTCGTCTAAGCTCTGGCTTCCAATTTGTGTCTTGCCATTTCCTTTGATAGAAAAACTTTAATGTGCCTTCCTTATCCATTGAGAGGCTAAACAATCTAGGAAAATCATTTCTCAAACTTCTACCATTAAACCACCTATCAGTCCAAAACTGTATCCTCTCCCCATATCCAATGACAAGTTTGAAGTTTTGTTCAAACACCTCAGCCACAGCAGTATTTGATGAAACAAATGATACAATCCTTTTCCACACTGCAGACACCATAGTAGATTCCATTGTTTCAAGTATCTACCTTCCCCCAAATCTACTATATTTGCTACACACCACTTGTTTCCATAATGACTTTTGCTCTCTACCATACCTTCACCACCATTTTAATAATAAACGAACATTAACATCACTCAGATTTCTCATGCCCAATCCTCCTTGGGCTTTTCTTTACACACCTTTTAATTTACCAAATGAATTTTTCTGTTAGTCTCAGAATCTCCCCACAAAAAGCTAGACTGAATCTTATCAATAGTTTTGACAACTCCCATTGGCATTTTAAATAATGAAAGAAAGAACAAAGGAAGGCTTGACAAAATCAATCTAATCAAGGTCAAATGACCAACAAAGGACAAATACCTCCTCTTCCATTATGCTAGTTTCTTCTTAAATTTTTCCATCACAGGTTGCCATGTACTTCTACTCCTTGGATTTGCATTTAATGGTAGACCAAGATAGGTAAGTGGTAGTCTCTGACAAAGGCAATTGAGTTTTGTGGCGAACTCCATAACCCTCATCTCTTCCACACCAATCCCACATACAGTACTTTTGTGAAAATTAATCTTTAAACCTGACATTATTTCAAAGCACCTCAGTATTCGTTTAATCATAATAATTTCCTCCTATTCAGCTTCACAAAAAATGATAATGTCATCCACAAATTGTAAATGAGAAATCTTCAACGCATTAGGTCCAACTGAAGCTCCTTGTATCAGTGCCCTTTCTTTTGCTCTCTCCAGTAAGAGACTTAATCCTTCAGCCACAATATTGAAGAGGAAAGGTAAGAGTGGATCACCATGCCTTAACCTCTTTTGAGGAGAAAATAGTGGGTGACCCATTAACAAGTGCTGATATCCTTGATGTAGAAATACATGACTTAATCCACCTCACCTATTTCTCTCCAAAACTAAGATTAACCATCATTGATAATAGAAACTTCCAATTCACTGAATCATAAGCCTTCTCAAAATCTAATATAAGAATGATTCTTGTTTTCTTTGTTTTCCTCCACCAGTGCACTACTTCATTGCCAATTAGAACCCCATCAAGAATTAATACATCTTCCACCAAGAAAAGCAGTCCGAACTTCTCTTATGAGTTGAGTTAACACTTGTCTTAGCCGTCTAGATAGCATTTTAGCCAACACTTTGTACACTGAGCTAGCCAAACAAATAGGTCTATACTCACTCAAATCTGTGGGGTTTTTCTTTTTAGGAATCAAAGTGATAAACGAGCTATTGACCCCTTTAGCCATCTTCCCATTACTGTGAAACTCCTTGAAAAATTGAAGAAACTCACATTTCATTACAGACCAACATTTTTAATACAAGATAGATTGAACCCATCGAGCCCAGGGGCCTTATTTCCATCACAATCTCAAATGGCTGCCCAAATTTCTACCTCACTAAACTCAGCCTCCAAAACATCCTTTGTATCAGCTGGACTGATGGATAGAAAGGGACCTAACAGTTTAGGCCTAAACTTCCAGTTTTCAATAAACACTCTACTAAAGTGATTCACAACCACTTGCCTTACCATAGTTGGATTTTCAAACACCACACCATTCACCTTTACAGAGCCTAATAAATTTTTCCTCTGTCTTCTACTTGCCATCAAGTGGAACAATCGAGTATTTTTATCACCATTTTGTGCCAATTTCAGTCTTGATTTTTGCAACCACATCCTCGCCTTACATCTACTTAGACTCCACACTTGACTTCTAATCTCTCGTTTTCTTTTCAATTCTGTCTCCAACAAAGATCTGGATTCAGCTTTCAAATCCCACTCATGCAATTCATTTTCAGCTTTCTTGAGTTGATCATCAATATTCCCAAATACCTCTCTATTCCACTTTCTCAAATGTTCCCTCAAGATCCTCAATTTACACATGATTCTAAAGCTGGCCCATCCTAGAAGCTGAGACTCCTCCCAAGATTTTTTCACCTCTATCTTGAATTTTGAGTGAAGTGTCCATGCATTAATAAACCGAAAAGGTTTTTGCCCTCAATCCCTTTCATCCTCCATTAGCAAAACTGGGCAGTGATCAGATATGCTTCTGGTTAATCCCCATTGTTTCAATTGAAATCTCTCCAGCCACACAGGGTCAACTAGAAATCTGTCAATTCTACTCCACCTATCTCCTACCATTGCATTACACCAAGTGAATGATCTTTCTTACATAGGTAAATCACTTAATTCCAATCTATCAATAAACTCATTAAAGTCTTTCATCCCCCTCTCCCTCCTCGAACATCCCTTCCTTTCACTCATAAATCTTATTTCATTAAAATCTCCACCCAAACACCATAGGTTGGGATAAGAATATTTAAGCTGAATAAGACTCTACATACCCACATTTTATCTTGTGAATGAAAAGAAGATCACTGTGTATCTTGAAACTCATTGTATATACATATATTTATGTACAGACATATGCATATGATGTTTTTATATATATAATACATATAATGGATATGGATAGAGGAAGAAGAAGAGAAGGAAGAGAGAGTTCACTGTGTATAAACATATACATACATATATATATATATATATATATCTTTGATTGGGTTGTATATGATTAGAAAAATGATCTGAACTGGGTTTGGATTTGTCTACAACAAAATGATCTGAAAATCAATGTAAGAGATGCCGAATAAACCAACCAAGTGATCTAAAAAATGATCTGCTATTTTGGACTTTTGAGCATGAAACATTCTATTTTTCTTCCACAGTCTACTTCATGGTTTAGCAGACAAACAACCGCTCTATTTAGCTACAAAACATACTAGTTTGTCTTCCAAAGTATGGATTTGTGTATGATGAAGAAAAAGTTTTGGCAGTAAACTGTGAACTGGGTTTGATATGTATATATGCATATGTATGTATAAAATGTAGGTATGGAGAAAGATGAAGGGAAAAGAAAGAGAGAGAGAGAGAGAGAGAGAGAGAGAGAGAGAGAGAGAATAAAGGTATAACTGTCAATTTATAATTTTTGTTAACAGAAGTTAGTGTACATTTCAATCCACAAACCACGTGGGGGTTATATGATGATTTTCGAATATTATGGAGGTAAATCACACCCAATCCAAACCACAGGGAGGTAAAGTGAAGTTAGCCCATCTGTCCAAATTTTGAACATATTTTATTATCTATTCAAATTTTAAATAGATAATAGGATTTCAACAAATAAGATAATAAGATCTATTCAAATTTGTTGCAATATGTTTTTTCTTCATCTTAAACAGATAATAGGATTTGAACAAATAAGATAATAAGATTTGTTCAAATTTGTTGCAATCTATTTCTTCATCATCACCATCAACAACAACAATTAGATCTAAGAAAAAAAAAATAAGGAATCTAATACAGATCTATATGTACACAACCACAAGCATATATAGATCTGTCAAATTAGACCAAAGTGAGAGAGTCTTTTAAAAAGAGAGACAGGAAATAGAAGGTCCTAGCCGATAACTTTTCACTTGACTGCTTCTGCAACGCAATTTGAGCTTGAAACGCCACCCCGATCTCTGACCATCATGACTAGATCTTTCAGATCTCCGCGATAGTGGTGGAGCCACTTCGATATGACGACGCGTGGAGTTTACATTGCCGAAGATGCGATAACTAGTTCGAATTCGAAGATTAGATGAATGAAAGAGACGAGGCAAGTTAAAAGTTGGAGATGGCGGAGATTAAGACAGGGGAGGCAACAAATATGAGAAGGTTAGAGAAAGTTGAGGTGTCGCCATTAGAGACAACGACGACAACGGATGTGGTGGTGAGAGAGATGGAGAAAAGATGTAGAGAGAGATTTAAAGAACACTAGTGTAGACAAAGGCGACTTAGGTGGCGGAGGTATAGTCAAAGTCGGTTGGGGTTCGTCGGAGATGAAGATGAAGAGGGCAAAAAGAGAGATGCGATAGTGGCGGAGGGCCAAATAGTTGCTGGTGAAGAAGAAAGAGAAGAGAGAGAGAGTTTGTTGAAACGGGCCAATTTCAACAGATTATTGTGTCATGTATGTATGTATAGAAATGATGGGTATTTTAGTCATTTCACAAAAACTTGTCCTTATGGACATAGGCCCTGTTTGGTAGGGTTTATTTTCAACTTATTTCAGCTTTTAGCTTAATTTAAACTATTTTGATGTGTTTGGTTCAGCTTAACAAAATAGCTTATAGCTTTTTGTAAGTCAAAAATCAACTTATTCTTTGAGTGGAGGAGGAGAAACTTAATTTACAAGTCAAAAATCAGCTTATGTTCACAATTATAAGCTTTAAGTTGTTAAACTATAAGGTAGAATCACTTTTTCACAGCTCTACCAAATAGGGCCATAATGTTTTAGCACCTGAACCTTTGAGCAAAGAAAATCCAAGTTTGGAATTATTGCTCGAGCACCCTAATACTAATAAAATATAAGTCTAGAATCTGTATTACAATACATATAATATAATACTAATATCATACAGAAACGATAGATATAAAAGTTAGACTTATAGACAATAATAATAATAATAATAATAAAATTAAAAAAAGAAAACAAGTATATAATATAGATAGATAGATACAAATACAAAGTTATACAACTAACAAAATGAATGAGATGAAAAACAATGCAAGAATGAGAGAGAGAGACAGAGACAGAGAGAGAGAGAGAGACGGTGCAGAAAAATAGAATGAGAGAGAGCGAGTCGAGAGAGACAGAGAGAAACTTCATACCTCAACAAAACCCTAGTTCGTTAGAGAAGAAGACTGATTTTTTCGAAACTTGGACTCTAATGATGATTTATTAAAGATCGATCATCCTCATATGGTATTTATATCTTCTTATACAAATTCTGTTTTGTTCGAACACGTATAGCAAGTTTCCGTTAAATACCCTTTTCTTTCCGTTTTGGGATTTTGAAATCGAAATCTTCAAATGCTTATGCCTCAGCATCGGATGCGTGAAAAGCGCAAAAAATGCAAAAAACGCAAGAAATTCGTACACCTGGGCTATTGAGGCTTGTTCATAGTTGAAGTCGTGCCTAAAAATACATGCATCAGTGCATTTTTTATGCGTCTCACCTCAAATGCATTTTTGATGCATCTCACCTCAATACACACCTTAAGTACGTCTTTGAAAACTTTAGGTAGAACAAAATCAGACATGACAAGGTATCCAAAAATAAACCATGGAAGCTCGAAAAAGGTTTTAGGGCACAAAAGATTACTTTTCCAGACTTTACGCTCCGTCTATTTGGACAGAACATTTTCAAGAGGGAAACATTTTTCTGCAGAAAACCTGTTCCAAAAAATTGATTTGTTTTCTTGTGTTTGGTTGGACTTGAAAATGTTTTCCGGGAAACATTTTCCATTGTTTGGTTCAACTATAAAATGATTTAGAACGAATAACACTAACAATCCTCATAGTTTAGGACTTGTGTCAATAAAGTGAAAACAAAAATTTAAACCAAAAAAAAAAAGTTAATAGGCCTTAATTCAGTGAAAACAAAAAAATTTAAACAAGCTAAAAGGAAACAAGCTAATAGGCCTTAATTCATAGCCAAGTACAAATTTAAACAATTAATTTCTAGCATTTTTTCAAAGAAACCTTCCAACCCTATTTTTCCAAGCCTAACACTCTTGATCATGAATGCCTTTGCTACATTTTCATTTTCAACCAAATAATCAAATGCTGGGCAAGCATAAATTCATCATATCCTTGCATCTTCATAACTTCTTCATAAAGATCATTGACATTAACTTGATCGTCCATCAATTTTTTTATTGCTGAAGCAGCTTCTCCAATTTGTTTGGATAACTTGTAATAGCTATCATCTTGATCACGATGATTCCTTTTATGAGGCCTTGCTTCAGATGAAATTTCACTTGAAGAAGTAACATATTTCCTTTTTGCTACATCTTCCACATCAATGCCAAAATCAATTGATTCAGCAATTTTCGCTTCAGCATCTATGTCAACAAAAGACTTCGCAAAGTTCCCTGTTACCATATCTCTACCAACGACTACAGCCGTCTCATCATAAAACTCAATTTTCTTGTTCAAATATTGCTGATGTTCAGGACGTGCCTATTTAAAAAGAAGGCAATAAAACCAAGTACAAATGGTTAGAAAAAAGAGAATTTGAAACTTGCAAATAATTATGAAAATAAATGTCATCCCGACACTTCTTCGTCATATACTTTTCGGTCACAAGTGATCATTTTGAGATTGTCATCCCATCCAAACCTACTCTTTCTATAACAAAGTTCGGTAATAACATTCCACATGAATTTGACAGTTTTGAGACAGTTTTCTACATCATTAGATTGGCATTCAGTTCCAAATTTCTCATTAATTTCTTTGGCTACTCGAGCAAATGATCCCGGTTTAAATGTATTGGATGGTTTATGTCCTTTGTTAGCCTCTTCAAAAGTATCTCAAGCAACATAGTCTGCATAGGTTTTAACCATCTAAAATTCTTGCTTTTGCTATCTTTCTCCTTTTCTTTTTTTTGATGCCATTGCTACAGTGTCAATCAAAAGCACAACTCAATAACATAAACTTCAATCATAAATCTCTGCTGTATATATAGTTAGTTCTTATTTTCTTAATATGACATACTTGAGTGAATTCTACTGCTGATATAGAGGATATGAATTAATTTTCTTAACATGTAATATATATATATATATATAATAGCTAGCTCCATGTTATAGATTCATCATGATACCATTCAACACAACCACACAATTCAACAGATAAGTGGCATGCAGCAACATGCTCCTTCATGAGACAATCCCAAATTCCAATAATACAAGATGTAAATATTGATAATCCCAGCAGAACCATTTAAATTTTGTAAGAACAACAAATAAAACACATCATGATCCAATGCCACAATAAC